CTGGTCCAATTGAATTTACTATTAAAGTAGTATAAGTAACAATGCCACTTATTAGCTCAAAGCCTATTTTATATATTAAGTCTGATCAATGATTTAATAGCTAACCTTTTTTTACTTTATTTAGTATAATAAATTCAAGAATTTAACATCAATATTTGTATGTCATTTGGATTCTAGAGATTATTTATTTAAGATAGTATTTACTTCATAATTCATATTAAATAATGTGGAAGAGTTTGATATTGATTTCTATATATTGTACCTGATTTCTTAATTTCTTTTTATGCTATATACAGCAGGAAGAAATTAAACCAAGCATATCAGATCAGACAACACAAAGAATAAATGGCATACCAATGAGAATAGTAAGACTTTATGTATTGATCAAGATGAACAAAGCAGAAAAACAGATTATGATAATGAGGGTAATTTTTGATGAGCTCTATCAATGGTCTGGAATTTCAAGAGAAGAGTATATTGTAACATAATTTTATTTTATTTTTAGTTATAACTACTACTTAATAAATATTTATTATCATTTTAAAGATCACATTGCTATAATATTCAAGAAGAATAGCCAATCTATATTGTAAATAGAAATAGAATTTAAGTGAATTTGGAATTTATATATAAAACCTGTTTTTTGAGTTGATTTTATCATATAATACTCTAACCCTAGCTCTAATTTAACTATCTACTTAAATTCTATTCTCACTTACAACATATATATATATTTTAATGAATGATGCGTAACAAGTACATACTTACAATAAATATCAGTATTAATAATACCTGGCTTGATATTACTTTTTTTATGATTTTAAGAATTGTTAGTAATCTTAGTAATCTTGATCTGCTTAAATTTGTATCACTTGGCTTATTATTATTATTTTTTTTTTTATCTCCTATTTGTTCATTCAATTTTCTAAACTTAAATTTCAGATCTATTATATGAAAAGATAATAGTAAGTTTAAAAGCAAAGTGAGATTTTCTAATAAATTTTCTAATTGCTATTCTTATTAGTCAGCAAAGCTACTATTAATTTGCTAGTATTTACTTGACAAATCACTATAATTATTATTATTTATCATAAAATCTGTAATCACATCTTCAAGAAGTAATTGATCACTTCTATATTGCCTTATATAATTAAAATTAGAGTATAATAGTGGTGGTAAACTTAGTTTGTAGTCTATATTTTCCATGATTATATTTGCTAGAGATATGGTCTTAGTTGGAGTTCTTGAACTTAAATATAATCGCATAACTGATGGTAAATTATATTCAGATACCCAATCTACGTCTACATATTAAAAATTTAACAATGACTCAGAAAATCTAGCATCATCTATAAACAAATACCACTGACATCTCTTGTAAATATATTATATGTAATGTTATATTGAGAAATTACTAGTTTTTAAATTAATTATTAAGTGATTCATATATTAAGAAATGCATAGCACATATAAATAATATAAAATGATATCAGCTGTATTTTTTTTAAGGCTGTTCAAATGATCTGAAAGTAAATATATATATATTCAAGAAGCTACTTTTACTTTTATTCACATTATAAAGCACACTTTCAAATATTGTATATTCGTGTTAAGATAACTTATTAGGACTTAGATCTGTAAATTGATATGTATTAGTCTAGGCATCTATTCATGTTAATATTTATTGTGAAGCTATAAATAGTTGCATTTATTTTTTATATACCTTTACTATTTGCAATATTATATTGATTAAGAAAATTGACAATCCAATTTGTTTTATCTTGTATATTTTTCATTCTTGTAAGTTTCTTGATAATTATACCTTAACTAAAATTAGAAATACCTTTAGCACTAGTAGAATGACTATAGAAAACTACTCAGCATAAAGAAAAGTAACCTATTACTGTATGTCTAAAGATACTAATTCAGAGCTCTAATCACATCTATATAGAAGTTTTTAATAAAAATATTAAAATGCATCAGCACAAACAACTGGGAGTGTACTTCTATTAGAAACTTGCATTGCAATAAGATTTTTCTAACCATGTTTAAACTTATCAAACCAAAAAGGTATAGTTTACTAAAAGGGTATTTAATTGAACTAAGTAGTCTGATCAGAAATAATATGTATACAGATTATCTATACAAGATACTCTAATCTTGATTAATTAAATCTATAAAGATAATAATATTTGATTACTCTCCAATATATTTCAATAACTATATTTGTTTTACTAATTAAAATTATTATTTGTATTGATTGGGCCCAAAGTACCTATCTTATAATTTTATACTACAACCAGAATTAGTTATAACCCTTATGGTGTAACAATTACACCTTTGAGATGCAACTTGATAGTAATTATGCAGTAATTAGTGCATGTGCATGAAGTATGTAATCATTAAATAGTTATTAGTATTAGTAATCATTTGAACAATAGTTATAAAGGGAATGAGGTATAAAAGGGAAAAGAAAAGGAGATAGTTAGTTAATCTTTTTGTTCATTAGTTAGTTAGTTATTAGTTTAGTTGATTAGTTGAATAGTACTCTGGGAGTACCTCTTGGACTTATTGAAAATAGAGAACATTGGATACTTAGCTGTTGGTTCTGCTTACTTTCTTATCATATTTAAATATAATAAATATCTAGTTCCTTCTCTTAATGCTTATAACCCTGAGCTGAATTGGCCATGTTGGTATGAAGTCTCTCCCCTAGTTATAACAGTATGTAAACTTTATAAATTCCCGAAATTACTATTGCGAATTTTTTTTGATCAATAAAATTATTGTGCGTTATGTTCATGTTTTGTAAATTTAATAAAATTCTCGAAATTACTATTAGTTTTTTTTTACAGATTTTTTTTTTTTACTATTACAGTTTTTTTTTAATCTTACAGATTTTTTCTTATTACAGTCAGACCTCTCTAAGTGCACCCTCTATAAGTGCACACCTTCTCTAAATGCATGCTCAAATATATACTTGACCTCTATAAATGCATTTTTTCTTATTATTTTCTAAATGTATGTTGTTAAAGTGTGGTCCCAAGGGTGTGCACTTAGAGAGGTCTGATTGTATTACAGATTTTTTTTTTTTAATTTTACAGATTTTTTTTTTTTTTACTATTAGATTTTTTTTTTTTTTACTATTTGGACCAATAAAATTATTTTGCGTCATATTACGTCCAGTATTACACATTATACATTCTATTTATGAACTTTCGTATTGCGTATTATGCACTTGTCGGAGGATGGGATCGGCGACTGAGGTCGGAGATGTGATCTCTTGATCATGTGTCTGGACAATTTCCCCCTGCGCCCTGGTGCTTTCAAATTGATTGGTCAAAATTACTGGGGATGAATAATTTTTTGTGGGATTGCTACCTAAAATGGCGGGTCCGCCCTGGCCGACTCAGCAGATCAGGAAATTCTTTCGAATTCTTAAAATAATACGTTACATTTAATCTTATTCGGCATGAAACTTAACCCCTGAACTTTGTTTCAAATATTCTTGGTACATTACTATTATTTACAAGTATTAATATTAAAAAGTAAAAGTCATTTAATTTGCATCGAAACTTAAAACTAATATCTTTTTATTGTGAATAAATGTTTGCAATATAAAATAGTCAATTTTTTTTAAAAAAAACATATGAGGTAATAATTACCTAGTGATGTCAAATGATGTCATTAAATAGCCAAAGTTTTAATTATCGTTGCATTGTATAATAATTAAAATTTATACTATTCTCAGTTAAATCGGTTTTACATCTTTCAACACGTAACTAAAGAACTATTGAAGTTATTTTAAGTATTATTTTTAATAAATCTTTATTCAACTGTTATCGTTACTGTATGTTTATGATCTAGAAAGTTTATTTTTAAATTTTGAAAATTTTCTATATATTTACAGGAAGTTTTAATTGGATTTTAGTTCTGTTGAGGTAAAATTTCTAAAAATCTGCCGATAATTTTGTAAAACTTATTATACGAGAAGTAAAAATTTTACTCTTATTATAAGTTGAAGGAAATTTTTGAAACAAATTGTTTGAATTGTGACTTTCTGTAACATATATATAGCAATAATAATAATTTTGTTATAATGCTATTAGTCTTTTGTAAATCTTTTGAAAGGTTTATAATAAGATCATACAAAATTAATTAATTAGTTTTCATAACCTGGCCGCGTCAAAATCTGAAAAATAAAAAAATGTTTTACAACTGGTTTCATAAATTATGAGACATCTGAAAAATTGCTATGACCGAATCGATAAAGTATTTGATGTCGGTCGACGTCATTATTGATTCCGGCTCGGTAACTTATCTATTCAGTCATCAGAAAATTTTTTAGTTGTCCAGAATTTATGAAAACAGCTGTAATACAGTAATATCCGGCTGGGTTTTTGAAAAATTTTTATAAAATTTTATAAAATTTTTATATATGAAATTAAAAAAAAACCCCCCGGCCGGCGAGGTCCTATTTAAAAGGTTTATGTTATAAGAAAAAAGGCAGGAAATTAAATTTGTATCATCTAATTAATAATTTTATAGTTGAATAATAGTACTATATTTATACAATGTATTTTTTAACAATTTCTGTAAAAAATTTATTAAATCGATAAAACTAACCTGCACATAAAAAAGCGATCATGTTCAGATTTAATCTCTTTTTGCACCTGAATAATGAACCAGCAATTTTTATTCATATTAAACAGTGATAGATCACTTGACCCTTTTTATTGATGCTAATTTTAAGCATTCAATTTTTTTCTAAAAAAAAAAATAAAACAAATAAAAATTGATTACTGTACAAAGAAGAAAGGACAACCAATAAATATACAACTCGTAACAAAATTATAACAATTAGGTATATATGTGTGAATGCATAATTGAAAACAATCGAGATATAAATTCGTGAAAAAAAAGATGCTAATCTAGAAAAAGCATTTTTCAAAAATGCAAAAAAAAAAAAAGTCTATTGATAATTATTTAAAAGGAAAAAATTAATGTTGAACAAGATCTTCAATCTTTATTGTAGAAGAATCTGGAGGAAGATTTCTGCTCCAAGGGTTACAATTTGTATTTTCAGGAAGATCAGGTATATCGGGAAGATAGAAGAATGCAACAGCAATCATAACATAAGACATCTGTAGATAGATAAAAAAAAAAAATAAAATTAGTATAATTGAATATAATTGAGTATAATTTAGTATCTAGAAGTTATAAAAATAGGTAGAAAATCAATGAAACATACAATAAGCATATAGCCTTCCAACCAATTAGCTTTACCATCAGCAACTAGATAATTAACAATTAGTACAGCACAAGCTAACACACAGATTTCCAATACGTTGAAATCCAAAGTTAATGGCCTAGAAGTTGCCCAACCGCCAAGCACAAGGACAGGACCAATTAAAAGAGCAATTTGCTATTGTTTAAAAAAAATAAAATTTGAACGTTAATAATAAAATTTTAAAATTGATTTATATTATGTAACAAAAGAAAGAAAATTACCACAGAGGTATTGAGGACCAAACTAACGGCTCTATCGACCTTATCTTTAGAAGCTTCTTTGATAGCATCATAGTGCTCCATAAAGTTAGAAACAACTAAATATATATATATTATTAGTAACAAAAAAAGGCGGACAACATAGCCGAATGAAAAGCATAAAAACGTACCACAAAGAGGTATAAGGACCATTCCAATAAAACCATTACCAAGTTTGAAGTTGTGAGCTAAATGTTCGATACTTGTCACAAGGTATCTTGCACATAAAGTAATACCAAAAACTGACAATCCAACTCTAAGAATAATAAATGATTTTAATATTTTAATACGAGTATTGATATGCAAAATAAGAAGAATTTATGACGTACAAAAACACATCATATATAAGGAAATATTGAGCTCGTTTTTGATGTTCTTCGGAGTCATCAACAACCTAATAAATAAGAGAAAAAAAAAGGATAAGAATGAAGAGAAATAAAAGAGAGAGAAAAAATATAGTAGACTATAGTAAACCTAAATGTCTACAAACCTCATTAGCGTGAGTCTTCAATTGAAATATCAATAGACCAACGTATACGAGTAATAAAATAAGAGCAGTAGCATGACTAATATTTTGAATATCACATTCAATACCAGTACCAGCAGGAGCCGCAATCTTGAATGCGGCAGGGGTCACGAGAGCAAGAACAGCAAGAGCAAGTGTTGAAGCACTAGTTGATACCCATAATTGAGTACTCAAATGAGCATTAACGGATTCACGACGTTTCCTTGGCCATGAACCAGCCAAAAAGACTATACCAAGAATCTATAAAACAAATGATTAAATAATGATTAAATAATGATTAAATAATGATTAAATAATGATTAAATAGACAACCTAAAAGTAAATAATTATAACAAGTGTTGCTCACCAACAATATGTTACACAAAATGGCGCCAAGTAAAGATGAACGGACAATGGAATAGTTTCTATCTCTTAAAGCGTAACCTAAAATAATCATTTCGACAAAGTTTCCAGCGCAAGCATGTAGAACTACACCATATGCCTATCATCAAATAAGAAATAATAATTACTAAAAACGAAATGCGATAAAGTTTTAAAAAAAAAATTTTGGTTGGTTTTTTTTTTTACCGGAGGCAACCTGGTCGCGAAATCATCAATTCCAACAGTCATAATTTTGGATAACGGAATAATTGCCAAAAAATTAAAGATAAACACTAAAGTTGCACTGAATTCATATCTCTTCAGAATAATAGCGGGAGGTAAAAAAATCAAAAAAAAGTTTGATTTGAAGGCAGTCAAAACGGCTTTAGTATTTCTATACCACTTGACAGCATCTTTAGAAATAACTTTTTCATGTTGAGTTTTATTAGCAGCTTTTTCAGTATCATTAACTTCATTGTCTGGAATGTCTGATTTAATAGGGACTTCATAAAAATTAATGCTGCTGTGATTGTTGTTGGTATCATCTTGTACTTTTGTTGGTATAGCATTATTTGTGAATTCGTTGTCAGTTCTTACTGGGTAATGTGTTTCGTAATTGGGATATTGATATGATTCCATTCTTTATTAATTGATTAAAGGTTACTATTTTATGTAAGATACTTTTCTTTGGAAGAAATTTAACAATCTGGATAATTAAAGAACCGTATAAATGATTAAGAATTATTTATTTATAGTAATTAAGAAATGGAAGCAAAAATGCCGTCTAAAGAAAAAAAAATCAAAATTTTTTTAAAATTTTTTCTTTTTCTATTTGAAATATACAAACGTCGACCAAAAGACAATTATATATTTTAAATGGTAATAAGGAAATCATTTCTATGCGCAGTTAAATTTGTTGATAAAATTAATTAATCTTTTGATGTCCATGTGGTACGACATTATGTTCGATTGTGTACAGTATATTTGATAAAAAAAATATTCGTGATTTCCAAATTTGGTACAATTACAACCACATTTTTGTATTAGTATAATTTTTTTTCTAAATAATCGAAATTAACTATGCAGAACGTATGCAATAAGTTTTTTCAAGTTTATAGTAAGTATTACGTGTAACCGTTTATTAAATCTAAATGACAAAAACAAACTGAAACCATATCCGTTATTCAATGTCCAGTTAAAACCAATTCCCAATTTAAGTTATGAAACTAAAAAGAAGCATTTATGGAGAGATTGACAAATCAATTATTGATAAAACCACTTGTTTCTATTCACTATATATAGACTTACTCTTAAAAGCTTAAATTTCGTTATTATACCATATTAATCGTCAAATTTCATAAAAAGTAATTTCCCCTTCAACCACTAGTCATTTTTAACAAGATCCTTTAACTATTAGTTAATTTTAACAAGAAACAATATGCAATCTCTTAGTTGTTGACGAAAAAGGGTTAATAATCGGTCAAAGTTTTTAAATTGTTTGTAAACACAAATTTGCCAAGAAAACTTGTTATGTAGCTTACAAATATTTATTTCTAGAAGCATTGTGTAATGTGCATTAATCATGTCATATTGATGTGGATTTAAAAGGACGAATATAGAATATTCTAAGATAATGTTTAATCAGAGATGAAGTAATAATATTTACGTACATAAGTATGTACATACTTATAAGGGCATGTAATTATCTATTAACCGATTGGTTACAAGTCTTTTAATAAAAAAAGATCCGAAAAGAAAGTGGCATTCTATATGCACGAGTCAAAATTTTAAATTTTAATTATATTGTATTAAAATTGAAATGGCTTAGTCAGTTTAGTCTCGTGTAACATTATACTAAAACTGTTTTAGTAATGCATAATGCAGTACGTAATACACTGTACGCACACATCACAAATTTTGATTACGTATTTATTTCTAATTTCGTATGTATATTTTTACAAGTTTATTTTTCTACTTCATGTTTGTTTTACACATATCAACAATGTTTAAAACAAATGTTTGGATTACTTTGTCATCTCTAACAATCTCTAACAATCTCTAACAATACTAACAATAGGGGGTTTCAAAATTAAAATCAGAGAATCTTATTTTATTTTTCCGATTTATAATTCAACATAGTAAATATACTATTGAAAAAATCCTACTTATTTTCGAAATACGTCACTTATTTGTTAATTTTGAAACCCCCTAATGTATCTTTACGTTATTCGAATTCCCATAATTTACTAATGTCGAAAAGAAGTGATCGTCAGAACCTCATTGAATATTTATTTCTTTGTATTATTCATTGTCGTAGATCATATCGAAGTTTGAGGTTTCCATTTACCTTCCTAAAACAGCTTATGCTTGCTTATTATAAATTCTACTAATAACGATAAAGACGACCCCTAATCCTTAAAAAAAGCATTTCAAAAGTCGACCCTTAATCCTTAAAAAAAAAGCATTTTAAAACCAGTTAACCACATGGAAACGGCATACATACATGCATAGCCGAGGAGTCTATATGAGAAAATCAAAAATTTTGCATTTAAGGAGGTATTGCATTTAGGGAGGTAAAAATCTATATGTATCATATGAGTTGGGAGAAATTTTCATAGGCTACACATGTAGGGAGTAGGGAGATTGCATTTGGGGAAGTTGAACTGTACATGTAGTTTTTCCCAAAGTACGTACGTACGTACGTGTATAGCGCCATGATTTTCTTTGATCACCAAAACAAAATTTGTGTTTAAATCTGAAGTCTTTATTGTCGGAAGCATACGTAGATTGTCCGGAACGTAACTGAAACCAAATAGGTAAATTATTTTTAGGTCTGTAACACCAACTATTTCTATAAAAAATTTGTTATATTCCAATAATTTTTCCAGATATTGCTATTTTTAACATTTAAGGATCGGTAACAAAATACTGTAACAAAAATGAATGGTTGTCAAATCCGTATTTAATTACAAATATTTAAATTATATTTTAATGATCCAATCAGGTTCATAGTTTAAAGCACA